AAAAAAGACAAGTGTATTAATCATGGCGACTTTCATATAACTTACCCACCCCGACCTAAGTGAAATGTAAACAGCTCGCAGTGTGAACTATCACATAACGTTTGTGTATCCTCGGGCAAGCTATTTATCTATTGTCTGAGCTCTATGAAATACCAGTAGAATAGACCTGCCACTTGAGTTACAATAAGAATTAATTAGCACACTGAACATTGGGCACATGGTAATAACTCAACATTTGGTTATTACTATTTTCAACACCTTTCCAAGTTTGTTATACACAGTTTTGAGAGAATTTTTTGAAGGTTAAACTATCAGTGTTATTGGCTTTAGTATCTATCATTACCTCCTTTTATTCTATCATGTGAGGAGTGATGATCTTTAGTGAAAAGGCATAATCCTTCTACTGTCCAAGACTTTTCTTTCCTCCTTTCTTCTTTTCCATGCTTTGTCCCAGACACTTGATTAAACTCTTAAGAGTTCTGTCTATCAGTTATTCCTTTTGTCTTAAATTTTGCTTCTCTACTGACAATCCCTCGGCCATTTTACTAAAAGTCTCCATACTAAAATGCTGTCACACCTCTGGATTCATGGGTTTTCCATGGTACTTATCACTTTTTCTGTCACTATTACAAAATATGTGAGGTAATTAACTTATAAAGAGAAATGGTTTGTTTTGGCTCATGGTTCTGAAAGGTTGCAGACCATAGTTCTATGACTTTGGATCTCTGGCAAGTGCACATAACAGAGGAAACCATTCACCTCAAGATCCAAAGAATAGGAGGAAGACAGTGGTTCCCTTAGTCCTCTGCAAGCAATCCCAGTCATTCAAAGACCTCCAACAAGGTCCCACCTCTCAAAGGTTTTGCCACTTCCCTCTTTCAACGCTTGGATCTCTAGAGAATAGTCACACAAAATAGCATGTGGCTACTGATTCCGTCAACTGTGGGTCAAAATATTCTGCAACCCCCTCCCCAAAAAAACAACAAAAAATAAAACCCCAAACAAAAACAAATCTATAGTCAAATGTTCTGATCTTTTCTTGTCATTATCTCTTAAACAACCCAGTGTAACAACCATTTCCAGCACATTTCCATTGTATTTGTATTTGTATTTGTATTTGGTCTCTTAATTCAGCTAGAGATGTTCTGAAGTGACACAACCTACGTCCGTTATTTGCACACATTACCCCATTTTATGGAAGGAGCTGGAGGGTTTCGGCATCAATGGAGGGATCCTTGACTCTCCATCAGTGGTTCAAAGTGGGATCCAAATCAATTGTGTGCCCTTGGCTGAGGCAGATCTAGAACAGCACTGATGCTCTTGAATCCCGAATGCCATTGGGTACTTCTGTGTTGTGGGTGTAGTATGTGGCCAACTGCTCTGGGCTCTCTAGGGTGGATACTTCACCTTCTACATACTTTGGATCATTCGTAGTATCAATCACCATCCCACCAATGCACTGTGGGTTTACAGAGAAAAGAAACTATCGAAGGAAAAAGGCTCCTTAAGTTCCTGTACCAACGTACCCTCTGTGATGCCTCTTCTTTCCCTCATCATGGTAAGGGACAGAATTGCTCCACCTGATCCTAATCATGTGGCCTAAATTCATTTCTCATCTTGTTCCACATTCTTAAGAGCTTGCTGGTCCCATCTCATCTTCAGCCACTCCTCCCTGTCTGTCAGCATTTAAACAACAAACCCAAATTTCCCTTCCAAAGACAAGTCTCCTTTAGTTTCACATACCTGCAGATGTTCAGTTTGACTGAATACAGCACCTCTTGCTCACTGTCCTGATGTCGACACAATTCCCCATGCCGCTCCCACTGGCATCGAATTTCTGTGTTTCACCGAGGTTGCTCTGTCTCTACACGGGCCAAAGAAGACTGCTATTAAATCCCATCGGCCTTATTCTCAGTTCCCTTTACACTACTGCTCAGTCCTTTTTTATTTTGTTTTTGTTTTAGAAAGGGTCTCACCTTGTAGCCTTGGCTCAACTGGAATTCTCCATTTAGAGCTGACTGGCCTCAAACTCAGAGATCTGTCTGTGTCTGTCTCCGAGTGCTGAGATTAAACATATCAGGCATCTATTCCTTCTGAAAATTTTTCTTGGTTTCTTTCATACTTAAGTCTTGAATGGAGAGTTCCTCAGAGACATATCTCAGACCTCATTTTACCTCTTCCACCAACACTCTAATCCACTCAAACTCTTGCAGATATAAACCTTGAACAGAGAAGTCCCACATATACATTCCTAGGCCACCTCTACTGTGAATTCCAACCTATAACATCAACTATATAGAGGGCATTTCTACCTCACAAGTACCTCAAGTACCTTGTAATCTATATAACCCAAAGTAACTTGCCAACCTCTGCTTAACCTCTTTCCTAGGTACATGACATCATCTGGGGTTACTTGACCAAAAGCTCAAGGGCTATCCTTGACCCTTCATTTCTCCCTCCTCCCTTGAACTTCCATTGGTGTTAACGACTTCCCAAGTTTTCTACCTGGACTGCAGCCACAGCTGCCTAACTGACTTTGCTCCATTTCTGCTCCTTTCCAAACCAGTGTCTCACACCATGGAGGAAAATTGACATTCACATTATAGTTAGGCTGCAAATTATGCTTCTGGCTTCCAGATCATCAAAGCAAACGTCAAAGGTAAGTCGTCTTCATAACTCTTGATATTCATTCTGATGCTGTGCTCCAGATCAAACTTCTCAGGAGGTTTACGTAGGAAGCGATAATGACATAATAGTCAATGACCTCTACACTATTCCTATGGCATAGACTATCTTTTTATTTTTTTTAACCAGTATTTACCAAGTACTCACAATAAATCAGACACCATGCTCACTGGAAACAAAGCAGGAAATGTGTTTGTGCATGTACGTGTTAATCTCATGGCTAACACTGAGTGTCAAATAATATTAAGTGCAACTCTCATGAAAATTTGCTCTCATGAAAACTTGCTTCTCAGACTAGATCTACCTTGTAGTAATATCAGGATCGAAACAATTTCTCAGAGTCTCCCTCTTGAGTCTGTCCCCAGGGCATGATTTCAGGACTTTTCTCCTTTCTACTTCAGCTACCATTACTGTACAGTCACACTAAATATTGACAGGACTCCTGGGTGCCGACAAACAGTACTTTCAGCTTGCGTGGGATCTGTCATCTGCCAGGCTCACCTGCTGTGGCTTCCTACAGAGACCTACCACTGACGCGTGCTCCGATACTGCCATGATGGCACAGCTATTGCTCATCCCAGCCAAAGGTGCTCACGATGCTTACCTAGCCAGTGCCAACGATGCCAGAGGGCAGGGTGTGGCCTAGCATTGCTTGCTCCACCATGACAGGAAGTCAGGCAGCCAGATATCAACCTTCCATTTTGTGCACGTTCTCCAATGTGAGAACAATGTCAAAGAGGCTGAAGCCGCTCAAATACCAGGATCTGTTTATACTGAAACTAATACTGTGTTTTCCTCACCTGTCTGAGAGCCACGGGAGTTACACTATATCACCCAGGCTCTGACAATGTAGTATTTTCTGATGCTCCTGAAGGTCTTAGATTACCTTGTGTTATATTTGGGATCTAAGTGTTTGCCCAAAAGCTTATGTACTGAAGGTTCAGTCTTGAGTGCAGCAATGGCCAGGGATGGGTCTTTTGGGGGTTGGGGGAACTCTATCCCAAAGGTTCCAACTTACTATTTTGACTGGCTACTGGGAGGTGATAGACACGTAAAAAGGTTAAGTCCTAGTTGAAGGAAGGGGGTCTGAGGTAGGATAGAAGGGCAAGGGGAAATTGTTGGGGCAGAAGAAAAAGGAGACCCTCCCCAGGAGTCTGGCGTAAAAACTCTCACCGAGTTTGAAGCAAGAATCCCAACAAAATCCACATTTACTTACGGCCGTTCTCCCATCCCAGCTGTAAACCTACAATCTGAGGCCCCTGGTGGAAATCCAGAGGCCCCTGGCGCTCCTCTATCAGACTCTAATCCATCCAAGACTCCCTGGACATCCCTTGCAGTCTCGTCAAAAAAGGGGGAGAAGAGCTTTTTAGCAACCCTTCCACTTGTATTTTGAGAGCCACTAAAACAGTATACATGGCAATTGCTAAGACAGTTTGTTGTGAATCTCATGTGGGAAGGCCAGGCCTTCCACTCTTGGGTGTCTTATTCTCTCACTAAGCATGTCGTAACTCTTTTCCCTAAAATCTGTTTAAAATGGCTTCCAGTAAGGTGCTCCGAAGTGCGCTTTGTTCTTTCTTTTCCTTGCTTGTCTTTCTATTCCGAACAAACTTCAAGTTTATTTCTTAGTGGTTTGCTTTGAAAATTCACTTCTGAGTTGAGGCCAAAAATACTGTGCCCGAGTTAAAAAGAGTAGGGGACCGCCTCGGGATACTGATAACAGAGCCATCCTGTGCTGGCATTTCTCTGGGCCCCCCTGACAATCTTTGGTCCCCCTCTCACCCAGTCTCAGGCTCTAATGTTTTGCACTTGCTCGGAGAGTGCCCTACCGCTAACTCCGTCTCTATCTCAATCTTTGTTTGTTTGTTTGTTTTGCTCAATTTTTCTTAAACAAAATGGGGAAGGTAACTTCACAAATAGTAAGCACTCAGCTGATTCAGGTCTTGGCTTCAACGATCTTGCTTTGCGGACTTCAGGGAATTCTTCCACATTCAAACTACTCTCCTCTGTCCCAAATCCTAACCCTGCCTCCTTCACCCTACTCACCCAGGCAAACCTACAAGGGGAAAAAAAAACAGACGCATTCCCACTAAACACTGGTGCCCCTCGACGGCCTTAGCCTGAAGATTGGCGGGCTCTGGGATTAGAACGTGAGTGGAAGTGGGGCGGGACCTTGAGCGCGGCTGGGGGCCGACGGAACTGCCCTCCCTCGGGGGGGGACCTCGGCCGCGCGCAGCGTTGTGGGACTTGTAGTTCTTCCTGGTCTGAGTTTCCAGGTCGGACGAAGTCTCCGGACTTACTTTCCCGAGCTCCTGTGCGCAGACTTAATTGGGGTAGGTCCCTGGGAGGGCAAGAAATTGCAGGAGAGCTTGGTTATGGAATGTGGACCCGAGTCCCTTGTGTCCGTGGCACTCCTCCTTCTGCGGCCTCACCTTCGTCCGGCTTGAAGTGCAAGTTTCAGGTCCTCGTCGCTGCCCTGGCTGAGCCTGCAGCGGGAGCGGCGGGCGTCGGCTGGGCTTAAACTACCGGGCTGTCTCTCTGCTCCCTCCCCTTCTCTCCACCGGGTTCCCGCCCCTCGGGCCTGAGTGTCGCCGGGTCGCCCCGGCACATCCGCCTGTTCTCAGGGCTGGATGTACCTGCCCTCCAGTCTCCTCGAACTTGAGGGCAGCTGCTGAGCCCCGGGGTCCGCGGAGCCCTCAGCTTCCCGAGCCTCCAGCATGCGCCCGTGGGCCCCCGTGGGCGTTCTGGCCTCGCTGGCTTACTGCTTCCACCAGCGGCGGGTGGCCCTAGCCGAGCCGCGGGCGCCTGATGGCCAGCGTCCCGTGGACCGCAGTCTACTGGAGCTGAAAATGGTGCAGGTCGTGTTTCGACACGGGGCGCGGAGTCCGCTCAAGCCGCTCCCGCTGGAGGAGCAGGTGAGAGGCGACCCACTGGGGGCTCATGGGGCACACCTTGGGGACACACTTTAGGGGACCCCCCTGGCACGGAGGGCTCTGCCGGAGTCCATATCAGAAGGAAACAACAAACTGGCCCTCAGGCTGTGGCCTGGAGCCTCTTTCCCCATCCTCATCCCCACACCACCAGTATGGAAGTCTTCCTGACTAGGGCATCCCCTCAGTCTTAAAAGTTTCGAGGTGTAGTGTAACTTTTTAAAGATGCATAGGATCTTGTTTTAATGAAGTTTCTAATTGGGCGGATGTGGAGTTGGAGTTAGGTCGCATTTAGCAGTTCTGTGTGTGGGTGAACTTGAGTTCCTGGGTGCAGTGGACCTTGTAAGTGCCTGTTTCGCTGGTTGTTAGTGGCAGAGACCTTTGTTCCAGGAGCCACCCTTAATGCTGTCACAGTGCTGGAAATTTTTGCTGGAGACCATTTGAGATCTCATGAAGTCTTATTGGTGATGAGGACTGTATCTTAGGGTTCTTTAACGTCTTAGGTTTGGAAATCTGGAAGGAATTTGTGGTAGAAAGAAAAAAAAATTACATTGGCTAGTCTTGTGGCTATAAGTCAGTATAATTATGATTAAAGCACAAATAATTAACTTTTTGTTTCAAAAATGATTGCCTGTCAGGTGAAAAAAAAATAGGGTACCAGAAGTCCCCAAGGCCTCAAATGTTGAATTTATTCGTGGAGTGTATATTTATTTGTCCAGTTGGATATACTCTTCGTGATACCTACCTGCTTTCTTGAAATGCTGTAAGTTATATCTTCAATACAAGATCCGGTTTTTAAAGAGGGTCACACATGAGAAAGTTGAGCCTCTAGGGCACTTGTCACATAAATACATTTTAGCAGGCATTTAACTGGCAGGACTCTAGTTAGCCTCTTTCATGGCTGTACTACTTTCTGTCCCGTCCTTTACCATCTTTGATCCTCACGGCCTCCATGTACTCACGGCCTCCATGTAGGGTCTTTAACATTAGATCTCTAAAGTTTTCTTATTATTACATGGCCCATCTTTTTGTGCCCCAGTTCTTCTCTATTTATTCTTATTGTAGAGGGTTAGAAAGATATTTATGTTTTAGACAAAGTTATCAGTGATAGCAAAGAATAAAGTTGCTTAGATCTGGAGCCAGGGTGTACAGACAGCACAAGTACCTGTCTGTTTCAGCCTGTGCTGCTGGATTCCAGTGTAGAACTGGCTTCACTGACATGCTCTGATGAGATGGTACCATTCTATATTGATGGAACTGGGAGAAACAATCCCACTCAATTCATTACTGGAAAGATGTGTATTGTGTTACTCCAGCCTCTTTTTTATTTTGAAAAAAAAAGAAAATCCTTTCAGGGACTGTGTGTGTGTGTGTGTGTGTCGCGCAGAAGAGGGCATCGGATCTCTTGGAACTGGAGTAGTGGTTATGAGCCATGTGATGTGGGCACTGCGAACAGACTGCAGTCCTCAGAGCAAGCATGTTTAGCCGCTGAGTGATTTCTGCAGTCCTGGGCAGAGCTTTAAGCATGCCTGGCTTTCTTGAGTAAAGTTCTGTGCATAAAAGCCCAAGGTGGACCTAAGTCTGGCTCTGAGTGAATGTCATCAGCCTCCTGTGACTTGTTTCTGAAGTTCCCTTTCAGTATCCGTGGTTACTGATAGACATGGATATTGACATTTCTAGCCTTTTTTTTTTTTAATTCTGCTATTCATTATTATCAGATCAGACTATGTGGCAACAATTACAAAACTAAAATTACCTTTCTACAGTTTCTGATTTCTGACTGGTTTATAGATAAACATATTCTGGTCGGTTCTGTTTTCTCACAGAGCCTTACAAAGTGGCATTGTTTAAGAGTGGATGTTTTGCTGAATTTTCTTATGGCTTGAATAGCAGTTGATCTGTCCTACCAAAAGACCGTGCTTTGTAAATAAAATTATGGAACTTGGCTAAACGTACTTCTGACCTTCACAGTGGCTCCAAATTCACTTTCAAACAACAAACAGAAACTCTTGGCTCTGCTCTCAACTTTTCCCTGGCTTCTTTCAGGCAGTGACAAGGTGACCCCCACCCCATAGGGAGGAACTTCAAGTCTTGGGAGGTTAAGCCCACCCCGGTTCTTAAGTTCTTCTCTGTCGTGTCTGGGAAGCATGTTCTGTCGCTTAATTCCTGCCCAAAGCTCAGCTGGGAGAAGGATTTATGAGGGATGTGCCAGTGCATTCACTCCGCTGGGTCGATGATTTGAAACCCTGGCAGGATATTGGCTTCTTCTGGGTGGTAGCCATGCCCAGGGGTCTAGAGCAATGGCTCAGCAATTAGGAGCATTTATTTGCTGCTCTTGTAGAAGACTCTGGTTCAATTCCCAGCACCTGCATGGCTGCTCGACATTGTCTGTCCAGTTCCAGGGGCTCCACTACACTCTGGGCTCTGTGGGCACCAGGCACTCATGTGGTGTGCAGATGTGCATGGTGGCAAAACATTCATGTACATGAAAAAAGAAATACTCATGCCTGGCTTCCTCCTAGAGATCAAGATTTAGTTGGTGCAGGGTATCCAGCCGTTGCAGGAACATCTTATCTCTTGTTCTTTAGAAATATCTGGGCTCTATTGCTCTGAGAACAGGAGACCCCGTCCCATAAAGATCCACATGTGATTAGCTCGGAAATGAGGCTCTTACATCAGCACCTTAAAAATTTCTTGTGATGCCTCACGTATAGCCAAGGTTCAAGACCATTGCTTTGAAAGCTGGGCGTAGTGGCACATGCCTGTAATCCCAGCCCCCTGGGAAACAGAGGCAGTCTGATCTCTGTGAGTTTGAGGTCAGCCTGGTCTACAAAGTGAGTCCAGGACAGCCAAGGCTACACAGAGAAACCCTGTCTCGAAAAAAAAAAAAAAAAAAAGGAAAAGCTTTTTCCCTAAAACCTTCACATGAAAGGTTTTGGTGTTTTGTTTTCGGTTTTTTGTTTTGTTTTTGTTTTAACCTGGGGTGTAGCGTATCCATCCCACGGTGGAGTTGCCTTCCTGGCGACTTCCTGTGGTGAGATGTTTATGCTGTGTTGAGGGAGCCGGGAGAAACAGTGCTACAGAACTCAGGGCTGTGACTGCTGGAAAATGCCCCTACATTCAGCGGCCCCTGGGGAGGAGTTTATCTGTTAGCTTAGAGGGGTGGTGTACGTCTGAGCCTTTGTGTTGCTTGTGTCTTTGAGGTTGTCTAGCCAAGTTCTAAAAGGCAGAGAGTTTAGTCATAATCTATACACCCCTCTCCCGCCGCCGCAGTAAACGTGCAGCTTTTCTTGGCCTCACGTCTGCGTTCATTTTGTCCCTACACTTCTTTGCCATGGTCTTTCCTACTTTGCATGAGTTACTTTAAATCATATTTTAGGGATTGCTATCATCTAATTTTCTCAGATTTTTTTTTTTTTACTCTTAGATTATGTGTATATGTGTGTTTGTCTTCATGTATGTCTGTACATCACAAGAGTGCCTGGTCATCATGGAGGCAGGAGAATATTAGGTTCCCTGGAACTGGAGTTAAAGAAGGCCAGAAGCCTTCACGTAGATGCTGGGAATTGAATCTTTGTCTTCTAGAAGATCAATAAGTGCTCTTTAGCACTGAGCCATCTCTCCAGCCCCCTAATTTTCTCTTCAAAGATGATGTGTATGTATTTACATTCATATATTAGGTAAAATTATGAAGTTATTCTCCCCTCCTCTGCCCCATCCTCTGAAACCAGATCTTCCTTTAAAGCCTGGCTTGGCCTAGAATTCACTGTTATAGCTCAGTTGGCCTTGGACTCAAAGCATGCAGAATTAGTTTTTTCTGTTACCTATTCTGTCTCCCAAATAATGAGACAGAGCCCTGTTACGTTTATGAATAAGCTTTAAGCACTAAAGCTGGGCAAATTCTCATCCATTCTAACCCGTCTATGCTATTCTGCCTTACGTCCCAGCACATGCCCTGTTACCTGCCCATCCTAGTCTGGCCCTGGCTGCCTCTGCTCCATCCTGGTCCCCATCGTGACTTCCTCCTCATGGCATGGTGACCTCTCCCCCCAACACACACACTCTCTCTCCCTCTTTCTCTCTGGGGCACACACATGCACACACACTTGGATTACAAGTCCTGTCCTAACTCTTCTGGGCTGTTCTGCACATTATTGACCAATCAGAGATGATGGAGGACAATTTTTACACAACATTGAGACAGGACCTTGCTCCATAGCAATGGCAATACCAGAGTCTGCTAGCATTTAGTTCGCTGCCAGTTCAGCAGTTAACAACTGAATGTAGAGACACCTTAATACAATGGGAAGGAAGGTCACCTGTACAAAGGCTGTCTTGCCTCAGCCTCCTATGACTGGTTTGAGTTGGAACAGCAGAAAGGAGGATGGGGGCGGGGGGATGGCAGCCTGTATGAATGGACGTATCCATGCTTGAAGATCTGAATCCTGTGCTTAGACTCACCGGGACCTGGACATCAGGGATTGTTCCTGGGAAGCACCGCGGGCGCTCTGTTGATGAATGTGTTCAGAGGTCACCTAGTGAGTCCGAGTGGGCCTGCGGGCCTACGTGTCTGGTTCTGTGCTCGATACTGAACTTAGCCAGAATGGAGGCTTAGTCTGGGCTCTAAAAGAATTAGCGCTATGGTGAAAGAGAGGTGAAACGGATCCAGATCAGACTTAGGCGAATGTGCTGAGAGTTCTGGGAACACAAAGGAGATGGCTTATCGTACCCAAAGTGATCCCAGCTTTCCTGCTGTTCTTGGTTTAGTCGGGGTGTATGTATGTGCCCTGGCCACAGTAGCCACACGTGCTAAAACCAAAACCATGTTCATCCTTGTTCTTCCTGCTTTCCTTTCAACCCGGTCTCCAAATGGAGCTGTGTCCACCCACGTGCCCAGTCTAACTCGTGTCTTAGAGCTGCCTCCTCTGTTCCTGCTGCCTTAGATGGAATCTCGTTTCACTGACATGTCCAAACCAGCTCTTCTGTGTCCGCTGTAATTGTGACATGAGCCACTGGCATTCACACCGCTTCGTGGAGCCATGATCCCTTCACACTGCTGGTGGTGTGCTGACTCATTGGGTCTCTGGGCTCCTACCGCTGCTTCACCTGGAAAAGCGGCGATTTTCGCCTCTACGTTACTGTTCTGAAGTTTGCCTGCCACAAGTTCAGGTGTTTGCTTGTCTGCATCCATTTCAAGTGTCATTCCTTTTGTGACCTTTCCTAACCCCCCAGCCGGAAGAGCTGTGTTGGGCTTTGAGCAATGGCGGCTGTGTTTGGAGGAACACCTACTTCTGCTGTGTCGTTCATGGCTTGCTTCCTCTGAGCTGAGAGCCCAGGGAAGGCCAGATCAGGTGACCTGGCATGTGGTGTCTCCCATGGGTGATCATCAGAGTTGTTAGTTGCATCCAGACTAGAAGAGCAATAGATGGCTCAGTTTCTGTTCTCCTGAAGCTGTCTCCTAGTGAAGGATCTTGCCTGGTGCAGTTTGATGAAGGTTTTTTAGGAGCCAGAGAGACTGCTGTTGGGGCTGTGGCTGCAGCTTCTTGAGTTATAGGCCATGAATGAGTCTCCTTCAGGGACTGGGAGTCAGAGGTTTGAGTTTAGAGTGTGTAGTTGTGTTTATACTGAGAGAATTAATAGCTCAGGAAGGGGAGCTGGGAGATGGACCAGAACAGCAGTTCTCAGCCTAGGGATTGTGGTCCCTTTGGGGATCGAATTACCTACCCTTGTGTCACAGGGGTTCCCTAAGCCCATCGGAAAACACAGGTATTTACATTTTGACTCATAACAGCAAAATTACAGTTGTGACATAGCAATGGAAATAATTTCACGGTCGGGGTCACCAGACGTGAGGAAGTGTATTACAGGGTCGAGGCATCAGGAAGGTTTGAGAGCCACTAGAAGCACATCATGCCTGACTCCTCAGGGTAAGAGTCTCGGGTCAGTTGAGGTGTGCAACCTGCGAAGCTTTGAAAAGTCATCCAGTTGTGACAGGGACCAGATGAGAAAGAAACCAAGGCTTCTCTAGGTCACAGGGAATAGTAATGTTGAGCAGAGCGCTAGCTGTGGATGCGGGGCTGGCAACTGCACAGCGATTCCCTTGGAACTTACTCACATGGTAGATCACAACAGTTCTGTAGCTGAGGGTCTTAGTGTGGCACCAAGAGGACTTGAGCTAAGGACACCAGGCATGATAAACCGGGGTCATTTCTTCTTTAGTCGGAGGTGGAATGCAAGTTTGCAGAGGCCACAGGCGCCGTAGGTTTCAAGAACTTGTACAGAACTGTGTGTCATTTCTTGTGGTCACAACAGGTGGAATGGAACCCCAAGCTCTTAGAGATCCCGCCTCAAACTCGGTTTGACTACACTGTCACCGATCTAGCCGGTGGCCCGAAACCTCACTCTCATTACGACTCTGAATACCACAAGACCACCCTGAAGGTGAGCGATGCCGCGTGCTCTGGGAAGCCCACTGCAGAGCTTCGGGAAATTTGCTCTGGGCCGAGCTCAGCCGTTGAGGGTCCAGTCTTTTCCTTGTCTGTGTCCCACTTCAGGGCGGTGTGTTTGCCGGGCAGCTGACCAAGGTGGGCATGCAGCAGATGTTTGCCCTGGGAGAGAGACTGAGGAAGAATTATGTGGAAGATATCCCTTTCCTTTCGCCAATCTTCAACCCACGAGAGGTCTTGTGAGTTATAGATAAAAGATACTCATTTAAGGTCCTGAGCATGAGGAACCTGTCCTGACCCCCTACTCTCATCCAAGGTGGTGGGGGGCCAGATTGCCACTGCGCAGGTACCCTTACGCCATAATCTTCTGTGGACAGGTAGTCACTGAAGGTCGTGATCATTGGGCTTCAGGTCCCTCGGGAGCAGCCGTTTTCTAGAGAGGAAGGCTTCCTCCCCGTGGGATCCCGTCTGTGGTTTTGAGAGGCTTAGAGCAGTCCACAGCTCTTCTCCGTTCCTGTGTGACACCGCTTCATATTCATTCCCCCTCCAGTGTCCGGTCTACCAACATGTTTCGGAACCTGGAATCCACTCGGTGCTTGCTGGCTGGCCTCTTCCAACATCAGAAAGGTTCGTGTTCAGGTCTGAAAGTTGCCCCTGTGCTAGAGGAGCTCGCTCTCCTCACTTCCAAAGCCCTTTCTCTTTCCTCCAAAAAGGCAACTGTTCCCTTCCCAGAAACGCAGTCAGTGTGACTCAGGAGGAAGCGCCTGTGGCCCCCTCTCCACATGTGGGTTGCAGACTGAGGATGTCCCAGGTTTCTAGCAGGGAGGAGAACAGCTGCCTTGGGTAGTGGCTCCCCTGGAAACTGGGAGCCCAGTGGCACTTCCCTCAGAGATAACCCTGCCTTTCTCGGTACCACGAGCTCCCAGAAGTGATGCAGCTGCAGAATGGCTGCAGGAGTGAAACCCTGCAGGATTCAGGGCTTGGCTGGGCGTGAGCTCGAGGGCGGCAGGCTGTGCAGGAAGCTGGAGATTGCCCATCAACCCCACCTGTCAGTCACTCAGGAAGTGTAGATTTGAGTGTCTGCTCAGGTGTGCCATTAGCTATATTCCAGTGTCCTGCCGTGAGGAGCAGACTGCGGTAGAACATAGGTTTGCAGGGTTTAGGTTAGAGGTTTAGGTCTATTATCCTAACACTTAACCATTGTTCGTAGGGCTTGCCATGTTCTTGAGTTCTTAGGATAACCCTATGAGGCAGATACCATCAGCTCCTTTTACAGATAAGAGAACTAAAGCAATGGAGGCTAAGAAGCTTGCCCAAGGGCACAGATCTGGAGATAGCAAAAGTGGGATTCAAGCTCTGGCTGTCTGGCTTCAGAATCTTCATTGGTCAGCTGCTCCCCTGAGGATGTGCGCATCTGGGAAGTCTAGGCAGGGTCCTTGGTAGTTTTGTCTGTTTTTTGTTTGTTTGTTTGTTTTGGTTTGGTTTTGAATTTTCTCTGTGTGTTTCCGTATATGCACATGTACACGGTACATGTATGGAGACCAGAGGATAACTTGCAGAAGTCCTTTCTTGCCTGCCACCAGGTGGGTTCTGAGGATTGGACTCAGGTTGTCAGGCTTAGTGGCAAGTGCTTTGAGCCACGGAGCCTTCTTACTGACGCTGTGTGTGTGTGTGTGTGTGTGTGTTTGAGATAGGGTCTCACGTAGCCCAGGCTAGACTCAAACAAACTCAGTGTGTAGTGGAGGCTGGTCTTGAATATCTGGTCCTTCCTCCTCTGCTTCCCAAGGAATGGGGTGTCAGTTTTGCACCACCATGCCCAACAAATCTGCTCTTTTCTAAACATACCCTACAGGGCTCCAGAATTCTTCAGAGGGGTCCCAGGAACTAAAAGCTACAAGAAATAAGCATGATAAGACATGCACATGGGCTGTCTTTGGGCCCCCGCCTCGTAGACAGTAATACCTTTCTTTATTGTGTGGTACTGTAATGAGTTGGGAGGGGGCCTGCTTTATTGCTTTGAAGATCAGTCTCTCTCCTTTGATCCACTATGGGACCTGAGCAGATAAGTTACTGTATTGGCCTATGGAAATGAATTTAATGAATTTGGGGAAACAACAAAATAAACTCATTCTGATGGATTGGGACCAGCCATTCTGTGTCAGAATGCCCACATGCCAGTCTTGGTTGTGCCTGGGGCAGGGAGTCTTTGGAATGAATCAGGTCTGTGCCTGTAAGAAATAGCCTGTGGCCAGTAGAAGGGTGTTTGTGCCAGCCAGCCAGAACAAAGCTGATCCTTTATCCAGTGCTTGCAGGAGAACCGCTGGCAGAGCCAGGCAGGAACCAGAATGACCTTGGGATCTGCCTCTTGGGTCAACTTTTAGACAAAGAGAAGCAGAAGGCAAGAGTGTGGGTCTTAGAAGAGTGAGGCGAGGCCCCTGCCAAATGCTTCCTTCCTCCTCCCAGGATCCGTCATCATCCAAACCGATGAGGCAAGCTCTGAGGTCCTGTACCCCAACTATCAGAGTTGCTGGGGCCTGAGAGAGAAGACCAGGTAACAGGCTTTTCCAGTTCTCACTGGCACTGGTGGGTGCTCAGGCATTTTGGGGGTGCTCAGGCATTTCAGAAGTGTACTAAAACTATTCCAGAGCAGAAAGAATACAGTTTGCAGACAGGTCTGAGCTATGCATTGGTTTCTGTAAAATAGGTAGAAACTTCAGAAGAATAGGATTTGGAAAATTTGGCCTTTTATTCCAACCCAAATTCTTGCCAACTTACGTTTACACATCACTTGACTTCCTAGAGCCTTAATTTGTTCATCTGTAAAATAGGAATAATATTGCTGACTACATCAAGTTGTTATAAGGATTGCATGGGATCACAAATGCTGAACAGAATTACATTTTGTAAATTACAAGTCACTGTACAATAGTAATGCAAGGACTTGTGGGTTTTGGCAGAGGCCGGAAGAAGGCTGCCATTTTGCAGCCAGGCATCTCAGAGGATTTGGAAAAGGTGAAGGCAGGTGCGGGCATCCATGGTGGTGATGAAGTGGACTTCTTCATTCTCCTGGACAATGTGGCCGCTGAGCAGGTAGGATAACTGTTTCCCCTGGGTCCTGGGTTTTGGGAGCCATGGAGGTGGGCTGCCTCCTAACTTAAGACTGGCCGGAATCCCCTCTGGTTCGCAGGCTGTTGTGACAGGATTTGCAGGTGGGGTGGACGTGGGGATTGAAGGGCCCAGAACAAGCCAAGCAGGGATGGAAACAACCATGAACCCCAGACAGTTAGTTATCGGTCAGTTTTTGGAAGTTCATTTCCCGGATTACCTGACTTGTGTGTTTGGGAGAGTGGGAAGAGGGTGGGTCTGTGGTTATGAGTAGAGAGTGTGTTAAAGTATACACATACCATTTTTTGTGTGTATATGTGCCAGAGGACAACCTCAGATGTCTTTCTGCAGGAGACATTTACCTTGCTTTCTGAGACAGTCTCTGACTGGCCTGGATTAGCAAGCATGCTCGGCTCTCTGGTCAGAAAACTCCAGGGATCTGCCTGTGTCTTTACCAGGACTGGAATTGTAAGCTTGTACCACTGTGGCTGGTTCAAGGGATTGAATTTGGGTCCTCAAGCGTTCACAGCAAGGACTCTCCCAGGTGATCTGGCTTTCCAGCCCAAGTTTTGCTTTCTTTGACTCAGGATCTGGCTCTGCAGTTCAGATCTTTCTCAGACATCTCTGCCTCAGACTCCCGAGTGCTGGGGTTACAGTGTTGCCACCCGGATGCTTCACCTGCAAATTAGAAGCCTTTACTGCTTAGAGAGTCTGTGTGAGCATCAGCATATTTAAAAAAACCTGAGCTGGGTGTGGCCCACATTCTTAAAATCCCATCATTTAAGGTGCTGAGGCAGGAGGATCAAAAGTTGGAAGCTAGCCTGGCCTACACAGTGAGACCCTGCCTCAGATAAATAAATAAAGTACTTCTATTTAAACCTTGGGCTGGTGACATGGTTCAGGAGGTAAAGATGCTTGCCTCCAAGCCTCCAACCTCCATTTGATCCCCAGAACGCACGTGATTGAAGGAGAGAACTGATACCCACAAGTTGTCTTCGGACTTTCACACAATCACTGTGGCAGTGCATCTCCTTACCCCTGGCTCTCACACACAAGCGCACGCGCGCCCACACAGACAGGCACACAGGAGAAGGGCCCTGGAGCAGCTCTCTTTGCTTCGGCCTTCCCACCCACCCGCTGGCTCCTCCCCTGGGGAGGCGTGGCTCAGGTCCAACCACCAGCCAATAACCGACTTCTTCCTACTCCTTCCTACGTGGGTGTAGCAGGGTAACTAACCCCGTCCTCGCAGGTTTGGAAATTTTCGTTAATTTCAAAAGAGTATTAAGTTGATTTTTCGTCTCTAACGCATTTCCCAAACAGTTTTAGTCAGTAATACACACACACACACTGAAGCTATCAATGTAAAAATGAGCTAGCTGTACAGTAACCCGGGTAATCCTTTAGTCTGTCTTCCTCAAATTGATTTAGCCATAGAATCTTTTCACGTACTAAAAAATATATTACACATATTACATTTTATGAATGCATATAACATTTTATGTAATATGTACGTGTTATTAAAATGCATTGAAATATATAATACATTTCATGTGGTAATAGCGTCACACCGTCGGAATGCTTCTGGGGACTGAAAAGCTGATACCCAAAGGCAATGTGGGGTCTTTTCCTTTTGCAGAGATGACAGTGCCCCCAAGGCATCAATGTGCCTGTGCTGATGTGCAGTAAATTTAAGGTTATATGGCAAGTGTTCATAAAGTGTTTATATGGCATACGGTTTCTAAAATCATTTTAGGGAAAGTAAAAATCAAATGAAATTTCTCAGTTCCTTAACTTACCTTTTATTCTTTCTTTTTAAATTAAAAATTGTTAGGTTTTTTTTTTTTTTCTTTTAACTTGGAGTATATGGGAGCCACCATCGGGTGTGAAACACGTTTTATACTTCTGTGTCTTCATGGGGCTGGAGACATGGCAGTTAAGAGCACTGGCTGTTCTTCCAGAGGAGCGGAGTTCAATTCCCAGCACCCGCATGGCAGCCCACAGTGTCTGAAAGTCCAGTTCCAGACCTGACGCCCTCACATCCAGATGTACATATAGGCAGAACAGCAGCTGGAAGGTGATGGGTGCCCTTAGTAGGCAGGAAGTGTTTTCCTGTGACATTGCGAGCGACCCTTGCAGGTGCACAGCCTCATAAGCTGCCCGGCGCTGAAGAGATTTGCCCAACTGATTGAGCAGAGAGCTGTGGACACAGCCTTGTACATGCTGCAACAGGAAGACAGGTGAGTGGTCCCGATACATGCAGGAACAAAGTCACACTTGGCCGGTGGCGGTTGCGGGGGTGAGGGGGGTTCCTCAGGCCGCCTCGCACCAGCCAGCAGGCATCTCAGTGAAAACCTGCTCTGCTAGCCTACCTTCAGGCCTCTGCCCTTACTTCTGAGCTGCGGCTGGTGACCTGCCCCTCCGTTCCTGTTCCACAGAGCCGGGAGTCTCATACGCTTCCTTTTGTTCTACTTTTCAAAAGATTGGGGTGGAGGGAGGTGTCATTAGGCCGCACTGTTGGCCACAGTTTATTTTACAAATAATTCCCTGTTCTCACTGGGTGGGGGGTACTGCTTATTTTTGCTGCTTTTATAGGTAAAGAAACTAAATAGACTCCACAGAGCCCTGCTTTGATTCCGGTCAGTGCTTGAGAGAGAGAAGGACTGGGCTGAGAGAGACTGGCTACTTTTCCTGGGCCGATTTGGCAGGTGGCAGAGCTAGGGCTTGGTCCCAGATCCTCTGACCCATTTGCTGCATCCTGCTGCTGCTTGGGATTCTGTTTTGGAGTGCCCACTGCTTTTCTTTTCCCGATTAGGAGCATTTAGCTTGCACTAAGAATGGGTGACTTGGAAGCCCTCAAGACAAGGTGAAGGGGTAATCTGAGGGAGCAGAACAGTTAGTATCTCAAGAACTTGCAGGGCTTCTTGCATAAGAAAAGAGCCCCTGGCCATGCTGGCTTGGAGCCCACATGTCCATCTGTGTACTAGCCCTGGGCATCCAGAAGTTCTGCAGCCAAACCACTCAGCTGCCTCTCCCTGGAGCTCGGCAGCTTCCAAGTTTTGTTCAGGAAGTGGTCCCGCCAGACCTAAACTGCCCCTCACCGCCCTGGCTTCTGCCAGCCCACACGTAAACACACTGGTAAATACCTCCGGCTCTGTGGGCCGTGCCTCATCTGCTGAGGCTTCGTTTTCATGCATCACGAAGCAGCTATGGGTGGTACGAACACGATTGGACATGGGTGTGTTCTAGTAAAACTTCATGAGAACAGGCAGGCAGCCTGAATTCTTTGGCCACACCACAGCATGCTCTCTGTGACCCGTTTTTATCGGCTTCAGAAAAGGACAAATGCTGCAACGTCACAGAGCAGTCCGGGTTGTCTGGCGGGTGCATGTCATCCGTCACCTACTATTCCCTCAGTTACGGAGGCGGCGATCTCTAAAATACACCGGTCATGCCAGCCTCCTTCTCTTTTGTGCAGTTGAACACTTGAAATTCAGAGAGTGCTAGGTTTTGTTTTAGTTTTTGTAGGCCCCATCCCCAGTAAAAAGTGTCAGGCTCACCCACAAATAAGCCCTTTGTCACTTGCCAGCCTTGCTTCGCTTTGCCCGGTACTGTGAGGGAATACATGTTGAGTCACGGTCACCGACGGTTATGGGGTGACCCGGAATGAGAGTGATGGGAGCACAGCACTCCAAGCTCACAAAGTTACAGGGACAAGACTGAAAGAAGAGTCTTCATGACTCATTTAGAGCCGGTGTGGAGGGGCGGGCAGTTCCTTCCCAGTGCTTTTCCAGGGGCGTTTGGGGATTTCTGATCTTATTCCCTCTACTCTTCCCAGCTTTGTTCTCTTATTCCTCAAGGTGCTGTTTCTATTTTTTTTTTTAGCTTTGTGTGTGTGTGTGTGTGTGTGTGTGTGTGTACATGTCAGAGGAAAACTCTTGAGAGCAAGTTGTTTCCTCCCACTATGTAGGTTCCCCATTTCTAACAGGCTTAGAGGGTAGGTGGCGCTACCCTCTGAGCCTCTTCTCCAGCCCAGGGCCCCGTCTGTGTTCACAGAGACCCCTCAAACTGGATGCGAAGCAGTTTCTCCCCGGCCCTGGCTGTGCCCTCGTGGCACCTGTCTTCTCTGCTTCCTCTTGACGGGGCTTCTGAGAGGTTCTGGGAGGCAGAACTGATACCTCTCCTGGGTGCTGAGTGCCGGCTGAGTGCTTGAATGTTCTTCCCGCTTCACAGGGAAGGTATCCAGATGGCAGTGGGCCCATTCCTACACATCCTGGAGGGAAACCTGCTCAAAGCTGTGGACCCTACCACCCCAGCAAGCAAGACCAGGTACCAAGCACAGTGAATGCTTTTGCCACCGAGAGCCATGGGGGCCTCTGGCTGCAGGGAGGGACCCAGGAGTATGGGTCAAGAACCAGGCTGTCAGTGGCTCCAAGTAAGTGCTTACAAGGCCGTGTGTCCCTGAGCAGTTCACAACCTTTTCACCTTGCTTCCTGCTATGGTTTCCTAAAATGTTCTTTTTATTTTAAGGTCTCGGGGTTATTTTTCGTTTCTTTTTTAAAAAACTAACTGGATATATGTCAGATCAGATATATTAGTATACCTCACTGGTTTGATATTTTAATAGTTCAAAATAACAGTTTGAACCTTTCATTCACGGTTCAGAAGATATGACCACCGTACTTTTTAAAATATTGGAAATGGCTTGTGGTTTTCTATCCCTACTTTTACAGAGCCTGGGACAGCAGGCTAGGATGCTAGATTTGGAATGACATGTGGCCAGGGCTCAGCAAATTGTGGTCTGCCGATAGTGTAGTGGGCAGGAGACTTGTGTTAGGCCACTCACTGTCCTGCCAAAGCAGAACCTGCATTTTAATAGATGCCCTAATATTAAAGTACTGCTAGGGCGTGGAGACGGGGGTGGACTTGAGGTAACACAGCTAAGGGCCCACAGTGGGTGTGAGAGGCGCAGGGAGCTCAGTGCCTAGGGGTGAAATAGGCCTGGAGCCTGGAGCAGGACTTCTACCAGTAAAGCGTACCCTGTCCCTCTCTGTCCTCCACACACCGGCAGTAGTACTGCATCTGTTAAGCGTTTTGTTCCTCGCTACTCTTCCTCCTTGTATCTGAAGAAGGATCTGGTGCCAGTCTCCTAGGTTGAGAGTTGGCAAAGTCCTTGACCATGCTGAAGCAAGAATGTTGGCATCAAGCCAACTGACTAAAACTCTTTGGGAAGTGTGTTGGAGACCAGTCGGCTAAATATACTCTCGAAATTAATGAAAAGTTTCCAAGCCTGCAAAGAGCAGGGGTTACCCTGCTCCACCCACGTAGGAAAGAGTAGGAAGAAGTGGGGTGTGGGCTGGTGGCAGGACCTGAGCCACACCTTCCCCAGGGGAGGAGCGAGCTGGTGGGCTGGAAGGCAGAAGTGAACTCCAAGGGTCCTTCTCCCTGAGCCGTGAGAGTGGGAGTAGGGGCTCACCATCTGCTTCAGCGGAGTTCTACACCGGCTCAGCTGGCTGCTCGTTGCCCTTGTTTCTGAGGCAGCTGCTGTTTTTCACTCCGAGGAGGCAGGCACCGTCCTGGCCTCCTGATCCCGAGGCAAGCAATTTCAGAGAACCATTTCTTCTTGCAGAAAGCTGTACCTCTATGCAACACATGATGTGACCCTCATGCCTGTCCTAATGGCCTTGGGGATTTTTGACCACAAATGGCCTCCATTTGCTGTTGACCTGACCATGGAACTCTACCAGCATCAAGAATCTAAGGAGTGGTTTGTGCAGCTCTATTACCAGGGGAAGGTAAGATCTCTGAGGGAGATGGGTGGTGTTGCTAAGCAGCCAAGCCCACACACCTGGTTTAGTGCCAGGTGTCTCGTCCAGTGGAGTCCCCAGTAGTGGCCTTAGCTTTCTGAGTCCCGTAGAGCCTAGGGCAGCAGTCAACCTGTGGTAGCAAGGCGCCACATCTCAGTTCTGTTGCAGATTCCTTCTAGGAATGGGGCTGCTCTCCAGCCCTCCAGAGTGTGTCTGCCAGGCTGTGTGTCCTGCCCGGGAGGCCGATTTTAGGAAGTCACTGAGGCGTCTTTATTGGCAGCATTGTGCTATCTTGACTGATCCATCATTGTCGATGTCCAGGAGAGGAGCGAGTACTCTGCAGGGATTAGTGTTAGCTCGTCCAGCTCAGGGCCAGAACTTGGCTAGGCTTTCCCAGTTGAGCCCACAGTCAGGGTGCAGGGCTTTTCATTCTGGAAACTGGGGTCAGGGGCACCTTTCTGCCTGTTCCATGTGTGCCCATGCATACTGCTTGGGCGAGACTGTTGGGCTCACCTGAGGACAGAGGATGGAGCTCGCTGCAGACCTGTTGTTTCTGTTTCTTCCACAGGAGCAGGTGCCACGAGGCTGCCCTGACAAGCTCTGTCCACTGGACAAGTTCTTGAACACCATGTCTGTTTACTCTGTGAGCCCAGAGAAACACCGCATGCTCTGTTCCCAAGCCCGGGCAATGGAACATGGAGACGGACTCCTTTATACAGACAAGTAGATCTTTAAATAAAGTGCCTTTATATATAAGAGTATCATGTTGAGATCACGGTTTGTTGGCGCTATATTTTGAATCTATTTTGTTAGGTTTCTTATACCTCTACCTCCCTTCCAACCTCCCAACCCTATGTCGAAGAGACAGAATGTTAGAAGGGATAGGGCCTGTAGATCTCTTTAGACTTAGTTCTTTAGGGCAGTTCCAATCTTCGTAGTCAGGAACAAGCAGCCTTCCTCCTCCTCAAAGCATCCTCCTTGTCTCTAGGCTCTGGTATTTATACCCTCTCAGAGTCCTCAGAATTAAACTAATTGCAGCTGGCAAAGACCACGCCCCTCTCCAAGCCGCACAAGGCAGCTATCAGCTATTGACAAACTAAAAGCAGCCCCATATCCCACACTTGGGATTAAAACAAAAACATAACATTACAGGGGTTTTTCTACTTTGTAACGATTTCTCACTTTATTTTATGTCTATGAATATTTTGCCTGTGTGTAAGTCTGTGTACCACTTGTATGTCTGATGCCCCATGGAGTCCAGAAGAGGGTATTGGATCCTTGTGAAGTTAGAGATAGTTGTGACCTGCCAGGTGGGTGTTGGAGCCAAACTCTGGTCCTGTGAAAGAGCAACCAGTGCTCTTATCCACTGAGCCATCTCTCCAGCCTCATGACATGATTTCTGAGGTTAGAACATTGGTGTATTGCTTTGGGACTTCAGCTCTTTTCTTCTGTCAGCTTTACTAGGGCTTCTATTAAGTCATGCTTATTAAGAAGCTAGGTGGCGGGTTCTGCCTTCAAGTTGTTGCAGCTCAGTGGTAGAGAAATGTAAGTGAATCGGTGGCTTATAGTGCAGTGTTTCTTGAGCTATGACAGTGTATCATTCGGGGTGTCCCGAACATAGGAACAAACCTACTCCTCCTGGTACGGCCTACACAGGCAAGCCAAGAAGCTTTCTGGGAAAATTCTGTCTTGGTCTAAGTCAACATGGGAATAGTAGTTAGGGTAAAGTTTAGCGTTCATACGTAGATACAATACAAAACGTAAATAGACTTAAGAACAGAAATCACGCCATCACCTCAGTAGACACAGAAAGGCCTTCTGGTGGAATCCAACATTCCTTCATCATTCGGTCCCTGAAGAAACCGTGAATAGAAAAAACATACCTCAGCATAATAAAGACTGCAGATGACAGACCTTCAGCCAACATACGGTAAAGAGGGAAAAACTGAGAAGTCAGAAATAAGACAAATGTGTCCACTCCATTTACTCCAGACAAAGCCTTAGCTAGAGCCATGAGACAGCAGGAGGAGAAACAAGCACGCAGGAAAGGAAGAAGCCAGACTATCCCGTGTGCAGAGGACATGGTCCTATGCTTAGAAGACCTAAAGGTTCCCCTAGAGAGGAGATTTCATTGATACAAAATCAACACACAGACATCAGCAGCCTCTCCATATACCAAGAGCAGGAAATCAGGGAAGCAGTCCTCCTGTACAATAGCCTCAAAAAGTAAAACTAATCAAAGAAATGAAAGGCATAACTAAGTCGCCTGGGAAGGGAGAGTCTCGTTGAGGCCTGTGTCCAGATCTGTGGGACACTGTCTTGATTGCTGATTGATGTGGCGGGCCCAGACTACTGTGGGTGGTGCCACCTCTAAGACAGATGCTTCTGTTTGTATAAGGAAGCCAGTGAGCAGTAACTAGAGGGAGCATGTCAGTAAGCTGCAGCCTCCACGGTTCCTGCTTGTGTTCCTGCCTTTACTTCCCTCAGGGATGGATTGTGACCAAGAAGTATTAAGACGAGATATGCCCTTCCCTTCCTGAGTCACTTTTGCTCTTGGTTTATCGGAGCAACAGAAAGCAAGCTGGAACAGACCTCTACAATAAAACCTTAAGACCCTAAAGAAACTGAAGACACTAGAAGGTGGAAGGACTTCACAGATCTTCACGTTCACAAATCCGCACTGTTAGTGCCATTGTGAAAAGGGCCATCTTACCAAAAGCAATCTATAGATTCTCTGCAAACACCACAGAACTCCAGTGACAATCTTCACAGAAACAAAAGATGACCCTAACATTCATATCGATGCAAAAGAAGAGCCCAGATAGCCAAAGCAAAACTGCAAAAAGAAGACTGGAAAGTTGCCATGATGCATCAAGTTACACTGCACAGGGCTGGAGAGATGGCTCATTGGTTAAGAGCACTCTCTGCTCTTCCAAAGGACCTGGGTTCAATTCCCAGCACCCACACAGCAGCTTACAACTGTCTGTAATGCCAATTCCAAGGGCCCTGACATCTTCACACTAATACACATAAAATTAAAATTAAATAAAAAAATTTTTTAAGTTACACCACACAGCCATGGTATCAAAAGCAGCATGGTACAGGCACAAAACCACACATAAACCAATGGAACAGAATAGAAACCCCAGACAAACCTGTGTGGCTACAGGCACCCAGTTTTTGACAAAGATGCCAGAAAACACCATAGAAAAGACAAACTTCAATAAATAGTGCTGGAAACACCAGATGTGGATATTCACAGGTAGAAGAAAGAAATCAGATCCCCAGCTATCACCTTATACAAAAATCAAAATGGAGCAATGGCCTTGCAGGCCTTGGAGGCCTGAAACTCAGAGTCTGTTAGTGAGAGGAAACATGAAAATAGAAGCACGAGGGAGGATTTTCTAAAAAGTACTCCGTAGCACAAGAAAAAGTTGCAGTCGGCAAAGGGGGTTGCTTGAAACTAGAAAACTTCCTCACAGCAGAGGAGGCGGTGAGAGACAAGAAAATGGGAGAAAATCTTTTTCAGTCTGACGGGGCATTAATACTTAAGGAAGAAGTCAAAAGAAATTAAACGCTGTCCCCCAACACACACACCTAAAAATACTCCAGTGGCCTGAATGAGAATGGTCCCCATAGGCTCGTGATTGGCTACTTGGTCCTCAGTTTGGTGGAACTCTTTGGTAAGGACTAGGCGGTGTGGCCTTGTTGGAGGAGGTCTGGTCCTGAGAGTGGGCTTTGAGGTTTCAAAAGACACCTATTCTCTCTCTGTGTCTCTTGTCTCTCTCCTGCCTCTCTTTCCCTCCTACTTGCAGTTTAAGATCTTTTAACAGAACTCAGCTGTACCTACTGATATACCTTTGCTCCACCGTCATGGATTCTAACCCTCTGAAACCATGAACCCAATTAAATGCTTTCTTTTATAAGTCACCTTTGGACATGCTTTATCACAGCAATAGAAAAGTAACTACAAACATTTCAATCAATAAGTGGGCATGCACACAGACAGTAAAGTATAAGTGCCTTGAAGTATATGTGAAAAAAAAAAAGTGCTCAACTACCTCTCACAAAAAGTAAAAACCACGTTGAAATTCCATTTCATCCCAGACAGAACAGCTATAATTCAGTAAACCAGCAACAAATGCTGGTGAGGATGTGGAGAAGGGAACTTATAGACACCCCTGGAAACTAGTCTACTCCCAGTGGAAATCCCAAAGATGGCTTCCTAAGGTCTAATACTACATCTGCCATGTAGATCCCACTCTGGGGTCTGTCCCTGAAGCATATCACACAGAGACACCTGTACCTCCATTCTGTTCTTGTAGTACTGTTCTCAATGGAACAAGAGTAAATGTCCATTGTTGTTATAATGTTCTTGTGGAATGTATACAATTTACCCTTGCTCATTCAAATGCTGATTTCTCTCCCCCACTATCTGGTTTCAATCCAGACATTGCATTGTGATGTTTATTCCAAGCATCACCTGTCTCAAGTTTGTGTAAACATACCACCATTTATTTTCTGTATTTTCAATAAAACAACCAGCCAATGCTGTGCAATAGAGAGACATCATGGGTGGGACATCATGGTCTGGAGGGGAGGAGAAAGAAGCAAGTGGGGGGAGTTGGAAAGGAGAGTTCAGCAGGAGAACACTTGGAACCATGAGCCAGACCTAAGATATGACTAAAAGCAAGTATAATGTGGGTAATCTGAATGGGAGGAAACTATGCAGGCTTGGAGGTTTAGGATGGACTAACCATTGCCCAGCATCGTGCTCTAGGTTAATTGAAAAAAACCCTAGTCTCTGTGTGGTGATTTGGGTTATCAGCTGGTTTAGGAATAACCACTGTTTAACTAAAAGATAAATCAGTAGTAAATATTAATAATCAACAACAGTCCATCAATGAAGGAATGGGTCAGGAACCTGTGGTCTGCACACACAGTGGAGTTTTATTCAGACATCTACAGAACAAAGTAGAAGAATGATTTGAATGTAGACCATTGTATCAAATACATGATAATCCAGATTCAGAAAGATAAATTTTTTTTTCACACGTGGGTCTTAGAGTATATATCTTTTTTTTTGCATGTTACTATAGATCTAAAGATGGATGACATGAAAGTAGCAGTGTAGTGTATAGTAAAAGAAAGTGGAGAAAAGGGTAAGTAGAGACAAACATATGGTATAATTGGATGAAAATATCTATGAAGGGGGCTGGAGAGGTTAAGAGCACTGGCTGCTCTTCCAAGGGTCCTGAGTTCAATTCTCAGCAACCACGTGGTGGCTTACAACCATCTATAATGAGATCTGATGTCCTCTTCTGGGGAGCAGGTGTACATGCAGACCAAACATAGCATAAATAAATAAATAGATAGATAGATAAATCTTGAAAGAAGAAAGGAAGAAGAGAGAAAGAGAGAGGAAGGAAGGAAAGAAGGAAGGAGAAAGAAAGAAAGAAAGAAAGAAAGAAAGAAAGAAAGAAAGAAAGAAAGAGAAAGAGAAAGAAAAGAAATAAAGAAGAAAGAAAGAAACCTGGTCTGGAGAGATGGCTCAATGGTTAAGAGCACAGTCTGCTCTTCTAAAGGACCCGGATTCAATTCCCAGCACCCACATGTCAGCTCAAAACTGTCTATAATGGCAATTCCAAGGGATCTGACACCTTCACACTAGTGCACATAGAATAAAATTAAATAAATAAAAAATATTTTTAAAAAAGAAAGCATCCATGAAACCTATTACTATAATGAATAACATGAATAT